GTGGGGACGACAGTGTCGTAGAACTCTGTAGTGAAAGAGGAAAAGTTCGAAAGTTGTTCCCACCAAGACGAGGAATTGGTCTTGAAATGTGTGGGGACGACAGTGTCGTAGAACTCTGGTAGTGAAAAGAGGAAAAGTTCGAAAGTTGTTCGCATCAAGACGAGGAATTGGTCTTGGAAATGTGTGGGGACGACAGTGTCGTAGAACACTGGTAGTGAAAAGAGGAAAAGTTCGAAAGTTGTTCGCATCAAGAAGAATTGGTCTGGAATGTGGGGACGTGTCGTAAATGTGTGAAAAAGGGAAAACGACAGTTGTCGCATCAAGACGTGGAATTGGTCTGTTGAGGACGAAAAGAAACACTGGTAGTGAAAAGAGGAAAAGTTCGAAAGTTGCCTGCATCAAGACGAGGAATTGGTCTTGAAATGTGTGGGGACGACAGTGTCGTAGAACTCTGGTAGTGAAAAGAGAAAAGTTGTAGAAGACATGGAATTGGTCTGAAATGGAAAGCAGTGTGGTGAAAAGAGGAAAAGTTGGTCGGGAATTGGTCTGAAATGTGGGGACGACAGTGTCGTAGAACACTGTAGTAAAAAGAGGAAAGCTCGAAAAGCTGTTCGCATCAAGAGGAGGAATTGGTCTTGAAATGTGTGGGGACGACAGTGTCGTAGACTCTGGTGCAGAAAAGAGGAAAAGTTCTGAAAGTTGTTGCAAAAAAGAATGGGGACGAAGTGTCGTGGAACATTGGTAGGGAAAAGAGGAAAAGTTGTTCGCATCAAGACGAGGAATTGGTCTTGAAATGGGGGACGACAGTGTGTGCAGGAAAAGAGTGAAAACTTGAAAGTTGTTCACCAGACGTGGAATTGGTCTTGAAATGTGGGGACGACAGTGTCGTAGAACCTCAGGTAGTGAAAAGAGGAAAAGTCTGAAAGTTGTCGCATCAAGACGTGGAATTGGTCTGGAAATGTGGGGACGACAGTGTCGTAGAAACTCTGGTAAGTGAAAAGAGGAAAGTCGTGAAAAGTTGTCTGCATGGGGACGAGTGGGGGAATTGGTAGTGAAAAGTGTGGGGACGAAAGTGTCGCACCAAGACGTGGAATTGGTCGAAATGGGGACGCAGTGGAAACCTTGGGTGAAAAGAGGAAAAGTTCGAAAGTTGTTCGCACCAAGACGTGGAATTGGTCTTGAAATGTGGGAGGACGAGCAGTGTCGTAGAGAACTTGTAGTGAAAAGAGGAAAAGTCGAAAGTTGTTCGCATCAAGACGAGGAAAATTGGTCTTGGAAATGTGGGTAGAACTCTTGCAGTGAAAAGAGGAAAATTGAAAGTTGTTCGCATCAAGACGTGGAATTGGTAGAATGTGTGGGGAACAGTGTCGTAGAAAGAGGTAGTGAAAAAGAGGAAAAGTTTGTTCACATCAAGACGTGGAAATCTTGAAATGTGTGGGGACGACAGTGTCGTAGAACTCTGGTAGAAAAGAGGAAAGCCTGAAATTTGTTCGCATCTGAGGGAATTGGTCTTGAATGTGGGGACGACAGTGTCGTAGAACTTGGTAGTGAAAAGAGGAAAAGTCTGAAAGTTGTTCGCACCAAGACGAGGAATTGGTCTTGAAAATGTGGGGACGACAGTGTCGTAGAATCTCTGGTAGTGAAAAAGAGGAAAAGTTCGAAAGTTGTTCGCATCAAGACGAGGAATTGATCTTGGAATGTGTGGGGACGACAGTGTCGTAGAACTGGTAGTGAAAGAGGAAAAGTCTGAAATTTGTTCGCATCAAGACGGAATTGGTCTTGGAAATGGGGGGGACGACAGTGTCGTAGAACTTGTAGTGAAAAGAGGAAAAGTCGAAAGTTGTTCGCATCAAGACGAGGAATTGGTCTTGGAAATGGGAGTGAAAAGAAGAAATGTCTGGTGTTGTATCAAACTGGAATTGGTCTTGTGAAGAACTCTGCAGTGAAAAGAGAGGTGAAAGTTGGAATTGGTCTTGAAGACGAAGTGAAAAGATTGATCTGCATCAAGATGTGAGGACGACAGTGTCGTAGAACCTGGTAGTGAAAAGAGGAAAAGTTGTTCGCATCAAGATGGAATTGGTCTTGAAATGTGGGGACGATATGTCGTAGAACTCTGCAGTGAAAAGGAAAATGGTGTTGGTGCACTCAAGACGAGGAATTGGTCTGGGGTGGGGACGACAGTGTCGTAGAACTCTGGTAGTGAAAAGAGGAAAAGTTCGAAAGTTGTTCGCATCAAGGCGAGGAATTGGTCTTGAAATGTGTGGGGACGACAGTGTCGTGAGAAGAACAATGGTAGTGAAAAAGAGGAAAATTCTGAAAGTTGTTCGTATCAAACGGAACGTGGAACTGGTAGTGAAAAATGTGTGGTCACCAAGACGAGGACAGAATTAGCCGTAGAACTTGCAGGGCGGAAAAGTTCGAAAAGAAAAAGAGGAAAGTTCGGAAATGTGGTGTGGGACGATAGCCAGAACATCAAGAGGAAAAGTTAGTTCGCATTTGAAATGGTCTTGGGGGACGACAGTGTCGTAGAACTCTGGTAGTGAAAAGAGGAAAAAAAGTTCGAAAGTTGTCGCATCAAGACGTGGAATTGGTCTTGAAATGTGTGGGGACGACAGGTTGTAGAACCTGGTAGTGAAAAGAGGAAAGTTCGGAAAGTTGTTCGCATCAAGACGAGGAATTGATCCTTGAAATGTGGAGGACGTGACAGTGGCCGTAGAACTCTGGTGTGAAAAGAGGAAAAGTCTGAAAGTTGTTCGCATCAAGACGAGGAATTGATCTTGAATGTGAGGACGACAGTGTCAGAACTTGGTAGTGAAAGAGGAAAGTTCGAAAGTTGTTCACATCAAGACGTGGAATTGGTCTTGAAATGTGGGACGACAGTCAGTGTCGCAGAACCTGGCAGGAAAAGAAAAATCGAAAGTTGTTCGCATCAAGACGAGGAATTGGTCTTGGAATGTGGGACGGATATGTCGTAGAACCTGGTAGTGAAAATAGAGGAAAATTTGAAAAGTTGTTCGCATCAAGACGAGGAATTGGTCTGGAAATGTGGGGACGACAGTGTCGTAGAACTCCAGTGAAAAGAGGAAAAGTTCGAAAGTTGGCATCAAGACGTGGAATTGGTCTTGAATGTGGGGACGACAGTGTCGTGGACGAGGAATCGCTGGTCGCATCAAGACGAGGTCTGGTCTTGAAAATGTGTGGGACGACAGTGTCGTAGAACTCTGTAGTAGGAAAAGTTCGAAAGTTGTTCGCATCAAGACGAGTGGAATTGGTCTTGAAATGGGGACGAAGTGTCGTAGACCTCTGGTAGTGAAAAGAGGAAAGTCGGAAAGTTGTTCGCATCAAGACGTGGAATCTGATCTTGAATGTGGGGACGACAGTGTCGTAGAACTTTCTGGTAGTGAAAGAGGAAAAGTTCGAAAGTTGTTCTGCATCAAGACGGGAATTGGTCTGGAAATGTGTGGGGGACGACAGTGTCAGAACTTGGTAGTGAAAAGAGGAAAAGCCTGGAAAGTTGTTCGCATCAAGACGTGGAATTGGTCTTGAATGTGTGGGGACGACAGTGTCGTAGAACCTGGTAGTGGTGAGAAAAAGTCTGAAAGCTGTTCGCATCAAGACGAGGAATTGGTCTTGGAAATGTGTGGGACGATGTCGTAGAACTCTGTAGTGAAAAAGAGGAAAAGCCTGAAAGTTCGCATCAAGACGTGGAATTGGTCTTGGAAATGTGGGGACGACAGTGTCGTAGAACTCTGTAGTGAAAAGAGGAAAAGTTCGAGGGTTGTTCGCATCAAGACGAGGAATTGGTCTTGGAAAATGTGGGGACGACAAGGAACTTGAAAGTGAAAAGAGGAAAAGTTCGAAAGTTGTTCGCATCAAGACGAGGAATTGGTCTGGAAATGTGGGGACGACAGTGTCGTAGAAACCTGGTAGTGAAAAGAGGAAAAGTTCGAAAGTTGTTCGCATCAAGACGAGGAATTGGTCTTGGAAATGTGGGGACGACAGTGTCGTAGAACTTGGTAGGAAAAGAGGAAAAGCCTGAAAGTTGTTCTCATCAAGACGTGGAATTAGTCTTGAAAATGTGGGGACGACAGTGTCGTAGAACTCTAGTATAAAGAGGAAATGTTCGAAAGTTGTTCGCATCAAGACGTGGAATTGGTCTTGGAAATGTGGGGACGACAGTGTCGTAGAACTCTGTAGTGGAAAAGAGGAAAAGTTCGAAAGTTGTTCGCATCAAGACGTGAATTGGTCTTGGAAATGTGGGGACGACAGTGTCGTAGAACTCTGTGCAGTGAAAAGAGAAAAAGTTCGAAAAGTTGTTCGCATCAAGACGTGGAATTGGTCTTGAAATGTGTGGGGACGACAGTGTCGTAGAACTCTGGTAGTGAAAGAGGAAAGTTCGAAAGTTGTTCGCATCAAGACGTGGAATTGGTCTTGGAAATGTGGGACGACAGAAGCCGTAGAATTCGGTAGTGAAAAGAGGAAAAGCGAAAGTTGTTCACATCAAGACGTGGGAATTGGTTCTTGGAAATGTGTGGGGACGACAGTGTCGTAGAAATACTGTAGTGAAAAGAGGAAAAGTTCGAAAGTTGTTCATCAAGACGAGGGAATTGGTCTTGGAAATGTGTGGGGGACGACAGTGTCGTAGAACCTGGTAGAAAAGAGGAAAACCGAGTTGTTCGCATCAAGACGGGAATTGGTCTTTGAAATGTGGGGACGACAGTGCTGTAGAACTCCTGGTAGTGAAAAGAGAAAAGTTCGAAAGTTGTTCGCATCAAGACGTGGAATTGGTCTGAAATGCGGGACGAATGTAGAACTCTGGTAGTGAAAAGAAAAGTTCAAAAGTTGTTCGTACTAAGGAGAATTGGTCTGGAATGTGAAAAAGAGGAAAATAGGAAAAAAGTTGTTCGCATCAAGACGTGGAATTGGTCTTGGAAATGTGTGGGGACGAAAGTCGTAGAAACTCTGGTAGAAAAGAGGAAAAGCCTGAAAGTTGTTTCGCATCAAGCATCGGGAATGTTCTTGGAAAATGTGGGGACGACAGTGTCGTGGAATCCCGGTAGTGAAAAGAGGAAAAGTTCGAAAGCTGCCTGCATCGGGACGAGGAATTGGTCTTGGAAATGTGGGGACGACAGTGTCGTAGAACCTGCAGTGAAAAGAGGAAAAGTCTGGTGTTGTTCGCACCAAGACGAGGAACTGATCTTTGGAAATGTGGGACGACAGTGTCGTAGATCCTGTAGAGAAAAGAGGGAAAGTTCGAAAGTTGGTTCTGCATCAAGACGTGGAAATTGGTCTTGGAATGTGGGGACGACATGTCGTAGAACACTGGTAGTGAAAAGAGGAAAAGTCTGAAAGTTGTTCGCATCAAGACGAAGGGAATTGGAAATGTGGGGACGACAGTGTCGGTGAACCTGGCAGTGAAAAGAGGAAAAGTCTGAAAGTTGTTCGCATCAAGACGTGGAATTCATCTTGGAAATGTGTGGGGAGGACAGTGTCGCAGAACTCTTGCAGTGAAAAGAGGAAAAAGTCTGAAAGTTGTTCGCACTCAAGACGAGGAATTGATCTTGAAATGTGGGACGACAGTGTCGTAGAACTCTGGTAGTGAAAAGAGGAAAAGTTCGAAAGTTGTTCACTCAAGACGAGGAATTGGTCTTGAATGTGGGGACGATGGTGTCGTAGATTCAGTAGAAGAAAAAAGGAGAAGGCCTGAAGGTTGCTGCATCAAGACGAGGATTATGTCTCTGGGAAATATGGGACGACAAAGTTCTAGAATTTTGGTAGTGAAAACGGAGGAAAGTTCAACATGTTGCCTGCATCAAGACGAGGAAAATTGTTTTGAAATGGGGACGACAGTACGTAGAACTTGGTAGTGAAAAAGAGGAAAAGTTCGAAAAGTTGTTCACCAAGACGAGGAATTGGTCTTGGAATGTGTGGGGGACGAGTGTCGTAGAACTCTGGTAGTGAAAAGAGGAAAGTCTGAAAGTTGTTCTCATCAAGACGTGGGAATTGTTGTTCTGAAATGTGTGGGGACGACAGTGTCGGAGAACCTAGTCGTAGAAAGTGAGAGGAAAAGTTCGAAGTTGTTCGCATCAAAGACGAGGGACGACGGTGTCATTGGTCTGGTTGAAAGGAAAATGTTGTTCGCATCAAGACGACAGTGTCGTAGAACTCTGGTAGTGAAAAAGAGGAAAAGTTCAAAAGTTGTTTCGCATCAAGATGGAATTGGTCTTGAAATGTATGGGGACGACAGTGTCGTAGAACTCTGGTAGTGAAAAGAGGAAAAGTTCGAAAGTTGTTCTAGCATCAAGAGGAGGAATTGGTCTTGGAAATGTGTGGGGACGACAGTGTCGTAGAACTCTGGTAGTGAAAAGGAAAGTTCGAAAGTTGTTCGCATCAAGAGGAGGAATTGGTCTTGGAATGTGGGGACGACGGTGTCGTAGAACTCTGATAGTGAAAAGAGGAAAAGTTCGAAAGTTGTTCGCATCAAGACGTGGAATTGGTCTTGGAAATGTGTGGGGACGACAGTGTCGTAGAACTCTGGTAGTGAAAAGAGGAAAAGTTGAAAGTTGTTCGCATCAAGACGTGGAATTGGTCTTGAAATGTGTAGGGGACGACTCTGGTAGTGATTCGAAGTTGTTCGCATAGAACTCTTGGAAATGTGGGGACGACGGTGTCGAAAAGTAGGAAAAGTTCGAAAGTTGTTCGCATCAAGACGTCTTGGAATTGGTCTTGGAAATGTGTGAAAGGACGACAGTGTCGTAGAACGACTGGTGGTGAAAAAGAGGAAAAGTTCGAAGTTGTTCGCATCAAGACGAATGAGGGGAATTGGTCTTGGAAATGTGTGGGGGACGACAGTGTCGTAGAACTCTGGTAGTGAAAAGAGAAAAGTTCGAAAAGTTGTTCGCATCAAGACGTGGAATTGGTCTTGAAATGTGTGGGGACGACAGTGTCGTAGAACTCTGGTAGTGAAAAGAGGAAAAGTTCGAAAGTTGTTCGCATCAAGACGTGGAATTGGTCTTGAAATGTGGGGGACGACAGTGTCGTAAAACTCTGGTAGTGAAAAGGAAAAGTTCGAAAGTTGTTCGCATCAAGACGAGGAATTGGTCTTGGTAATGACACTGGGACGACAGTGTCGTTGAACTCTGGTTGTGAAAGGGGACGACATTGAGGAAAAGTTCGAAAGTTGTTCGCATCAAGACGTGGAATTGGTCTTGGAAATGTGTGGGACGACAGTGTCGTAGAACTCTTGTAGTGAAAAGAGGAAAAGTTCGCATCAAGAAAGTTGATGTTCGCATCAAGACGAGGAATTGGTCTTAGAAAATGTGGGGACGACAGTGTCGTAGAACTCTGGTAGTGAAAAGAGAAAAAAGTTCGAAAGTTGTTCGACATCAAGACGTGGAATTGGTCTTGGAAATTGTCTTGTGAGGGGACGACAGTGTCGTAGAACTCTGGTAGTGAAAAGAGTTCGAAAGTTGTTCGATCAAGATTGTTCGCATCAAGACGTGTCGAATCTGGTAATGGAAATGTGTGGGGACGACAGTGTCGTAGAACTCTAGTAGTGAAAAGAGGAAAGTTCGAAAGTTATTTCGCATCAAGACGTGGAATTGGTCTTGGAAATGTGTGGGGACGACAAGTGTCGTAGAACTCTGGTAGTGAAAAGAGGAAAAGTTCGAAGTTATTCGCATCAAGACGTGGAATTGGTCTTGGAAATGTGTAAGGGGACGACGTGTCGTAGAACTCTAGTAGTGAAAAGAGGAAAAGTTCGAAAGTTATTTCGCATCAAGACGAGGAATTGGTCTTGGGAAATGTGTGGGGACGACAGTGTCGTAGAACTCTGGTAGTGAAAAGAGGAAAAGTTCGAAAGTTGTTCCATCAAGACGTGGAATTGGTCTTGGAAATGTGTGGGAGGAAAGTTCGACGGTGTCGTAGAACTCTGGTAGTGAAAAGAAGGAAAAAGTTGTTCGCATCAAGACGTGGAATTTGTCTTGGTTAGGGACGACAGTCAACAGAACTCTGGTGATGAAGTAGTGAAATGGAAAATTTGAATTGTCTTGAGGACGACAATGTATGTTAGGTCGGGGAGTTCGAAAGTGTCGTAGATCAAGACGTCAGTCTTGAAATGTGTAAGGGACGTGAAAAGATGAAGAAAAAGTTCGAAAGTTGTTCGCATCAAGACGTGGAATTGGTCTTGGAAATGTGGGGACGACGGTGTCGTAGAACTCTGGTAGTGAAAGGAAAAGGATTCAGTTGTTCGCATCAAGACGAGAATTGGTCTTGGAAATGTGGGGACGACAGTGTCGTAGAACTCTGATGTGAAATAGGAAAATTTCTGAAAGTTGTTCATCAAGACGTGGAAAGTCGTGGGAAATGTGTATGGGACGACAGTGTCGTAGACCGCATGAAAAGGAAAAGTTCGAAAGTTATTTCGCATCAAGTCCGTGGAATTGATGGAAATGTGTGGGGACGAGTGTCGTAGAACTCTGGTAGTGAAAGAGGAAAAGTTCGAAGAAGTTGTTCGCATCAAGACGAGGAATTGGTCTTGGAAATGTGTGGGGACGACAGTGTCGTAGAACTCTGGTAGTGAAAAGAGGAAAAGTTCAGTTCAAAAGTTGTTCGCATCAAGACTGGAATTGGTCTTGGAAATGTGTGGGGACGACGTGTCGTTGAACTCTGGTAGTGAAAATAGGAAAAGTTCGAAAGTTGTTCGCATCAAGACGTGGAATTGGTCTTGTAGAAATGTAGTGAAGAGGAAAGTTCAGTGTCGTAGAACTCTGGTCTTGAAAGAGGGACGAAAGTTCGAAAGTTGTTCGCATCAAGACGAGGAATTGGTCTTTGGATCTTGGAAATGTATGAGGACGACAGTGTCGTTGTCGTTAAAGTTGTTCGCATCAAGACTGGAATTGGTCTTGAAGAAATGTGGGGACGACAGTGTCAAAACTCTGGTAGTGAAAAGGAAAAAGTTGTTATTTCGCATCAAGACGTGGAAAATTGGTCTTGCATCCAAGAATGGGTAGTGGGGACGACAGTTGTTCGCATCAAGAATCCTGGTCTGGAATGCGGGGAAAAAGAGGAAAAAGTGAAAGTCTGAAAGTTGTTCGCACCAAGACGAGGAATTGGTCTTGGAAATGTGTGGGGGACAGTGTCGTAGAACCTGGTAGTGAAAAGAGGAAAAGTCTGGAAAGTTGTCTGCATCAGACGGGAATTGGTCTTGGAAATGTGTGGGACGAGAAAGCCGTAGAACTGGGTAGTGAAAAGATGAAAAGTTCGGAAAAGTTCTTTCGCATCAAGACGGAATTGGTCTGGAATGTGTGGGGATGACAGTAATGTAGAATCCTGGTAGTGAAAAAAGAGCAAAAAGTCTGAAAGTTGTCGCATCAAGACGTAACCACTTGAAATGTCGACAGTGTCGTCGAACTCTGGTAGTGAAAAGAGGAAAAGTTCAAAGTTGTTCGTATCAAGACGAGGAATTGGTCTTGGAAATGTGTGGGGACGACAGTGTCGTAGAACTGGTAGTGAAAAGAGAAAAGTTCAAAGCGGTTCGCATCAAGACGAGGAATTGATTCGGAAATGTGGAGGACGATATGTTGTAGAACTCTGGTAGTGAAAAAGGAAAAGATTCGAAGTTGTTCGCATCAAGACGTAGATTGGTCTTGGAAATGTGTGCAGGGGACGACAGTGTCGTAGAACTCTGGTAGTGAAAAGGAAAAGTTCGAAAGTTGTTCGCATCAAGACGAATTGGTCTTGGAAAATGTGGGAGGACTGACAGTGTCGTAGAACACTGGTAGTGAAAAAGAGGAAAAGTTCGAAAGTTGTTCATCAGACGGAATTGGTCTTGAAATGTGGGACGACAGTGTAGAACACTGGTAGTGAAAAGGAAAAAGTTCGAAAGTTGTTCGCATCAAGACGAAATTGGTCTTGGAAATGTGTGGGGACGACAGTGTCGTAGAACTCTGGTAGTGAAAGAGGAAAAGTTCAATTGTTCGCATCAAGACGTGGAATTGGTCTTGGAAGTAATGGGACGACAGTGTGTCGTAGAACTCATTAGTGAAAAGAGGAAAAGGATTCGAAAATTGTTCGCATCAAGACGAATTGGTCCCGGAAGTATTAGGGACGACAGTGTCCGTAGAACTCTGGTAGTGAAAAGGAAAAGTTCGAAAAAAGTTCGAGAAGTTGTTCGCAGTGTCAAGAACTCTGGTAGTGAAGGAAAGTTGGTCATCAAGACGAAATTGTGTGGGGACGACAGTGTCGTAGAACTCTGAGTAGTGAAAAAGAGGAAAAGTTCGAAAGTTGTTCGCATCAAGACGTGGAATTGGTCTTGGAAATGTGTGGGGACGACAGTGTCGTAGAACTCTAGTAGTGAAAAAGGAAAATTTCGAAGTTGTTCGCATCAAGACGTGGAATTGGTCTTGGAAATGTGTGGGGACGACAGTGTCGTAGAAAAGTTCGAAAGTTGTTCTCAAGACGTAGTGAAATGTGTAGGGACGACAGTTCAAAAGTTGTTCGCATCAAGACGAGGAATTGGTCTTGGAAATGTGTGGGACGACAGTGTCGTCGAACTCTGGTAGTGAAAAGGAAAAAGTTCGAAGTTGTTCGCATCAAGACGAGGAATTGGTCTGGGGACGACAGTGTCGTAGAACTCTAGTGGGTTATTCGCATCAGACCTTGGAAATGTGTCGTAGAACTCTGGTAGTGAAAAGAGGAAAAGTTCGAAAGTTGTTCGCATCAAGACGTGGAATTGGTCTTGGAAATGTGTGAGGACGACAGTGTCGTGAACTCTGGTAGTGAAAAGAGGAAAAGTTCGAAGTTATTTCGCATCAAGACGTGGAATTGGTCTTGGAAATGTGTGGGGACGACAGTGTCGCTAACTCTGGCCAGTGGACGAAAAAGTTCAAAGTTATTCGCATCAAGACGTGAACTCTTGGAAATGTAATAGGAGACAGTGTCGTAGAAAGAGGAAAAGTTCGAAAGTTGTTCGCATCAAGACGTGGAATTGGTCTTGGAAATGTGTAGGGACGACAGTGTCGTAGAACTCTAATTAGTGAAAAGAGGAAAAGTTTGAAAGTTGTTCGCATCAAGACGGAATTGGTCTTGGAAATGTGTGGGGACGACAGTGTC